CTTATAATTTTTTAGTATATTACTTGTGTGGTGTAGAAGAGAATTATTTATGTAGAGATACTGCTTGCAAACCAATGATGGTAAGATGATGTTATGGGGTAGGACTGGATAAGTCTGACTTCTTCCTACTCCGTTCAAGCATGTACTAGGTATAAGCACATTGAAAATGCATTTGTGGATTTGTGTGAAATTATGTGTGTTGACATATTGACTGTCTTTACATGGTTGAAAGAATAAATCAAATCAAACTCAACTTAATAGACTGACAGTGGTACTAACCTGGAGGTTGCTACGGAGCTCGGACAGGAAAGTGACTGGTGAGCGGGTCTTCAGATACGAGTCCAGATCCTTCTTGAACTGTGAAGGCATAACGCCTGTGAAGTTGGTGAGGATACGAGGAGCAATGTTGATCTCACTCAGCATGTCCACCTGCAGCATGGGTGTTAAGGGGCAGGCTTGTCAAAATGCCAAAAAGCTACAAAGCCACAACCGTTGTGTACAGACTGAGTGTCATCTGCTGCAAAGTGCATGTTTGTCTGTATGTGTACCTTGAGATTTGGTGTGAAAGGATCAGGGAGCCTCATGTTGCGCGGAAAGGCACTGAGGATGAGGTTGCGGAGTTGGATGCAGTTGGGTGGAATAACATCACAGAAGCCATAATGGTAGTCACAAAGGAACTCTGGGAAGTCATGCAGCAGAACTAGCAGAACTCGCAGTGTGCCCTAAAACCAATGACAGGGTGTGCAAAGAAATTCGTTTTAGGATTTGTAGTTCAAACATGAACATAAAGGCAGTAGCACAGAATTAGGGGTTTTTTTTTTTTGTTAATATCTATAGTGAAGTTATCCCACAGGTCCATAAGAGTCAAACAAACTGAACTGTGATAGGGGTAAACCAAGGACAAAACAGTCATACTGGGTCTTCAGTCCACAAAAGTCTGACAGTATATTGTTTGGGTCATGGACCATCTCGCTAGTCTGGTCGCAGCCAGAACAAACTAAATTTGCATCATGTTATTTAGCAACCCTGGTTGCAATGTAAAGTTAAATCAGATACCAAAACAGATACTGTAGTTTGAGTGCACTGTTATTTCTCTACAACAAGGAAAAAGGAGTGCGCACCTTGTAGAGGATTTGCATAGGTTTGTTGAGCTCGACATTCCTCAGGAAAGGAGCCAAGTACTTGAAGAGATCAATCAGCAGCTGTGCATACATGGGCCAACCCTGGAAGACAGTGTTTTTACACCAAAATTCAAAAACCATCAACACAGGCAAAGCAGAACTGTTGTCTATTAACAAGACCAATATCAGGCATTTAAAAGGTACACTATACAACTTCCCCCCCCCCAAATATTTTTGTTGTAGAAGTCTGCTTCAGACCTTGTCTTAATGTGGAAAGGGGCTGATGAAGCCTCCTGTGACCCAGACTCACTGAGGAGCACTGGCAGCAGTGCAGAGATAGTAGCTTCGAGAAGCTTTTGAGCAGGACTGACCTTCTCTAACCAAGTCAGAAATTTTCAATTATTTCTGCTTGATAGGTTTTGTTGCATTCTGATTTATTGTATTTTCATAACGACATATTTGAAGAGCTGGGCAAAGCGTGGTGGAGTGCAACAGATCTTAGTAGAGCACAATGGAGCAAAGAGAGGGTGTGTTGGGCAAAGCAGAGTGGATTGATTTGAAATTTTATGCTAGTGCTACTGTAAGTTATTGTGGATTTAAAGAATGTCCAAATGTGATAGCCATATCTTGTTCTTGCATACCTTCTGTTGTGGTGTGTGTGCCAACATCCTGGCGATGAAGATGCGATGGGAGATAAGTTCCAGCCAGGCGTACACAAAGCCAGGTGCTTTGGTGGGCCTCAGGATGTGGAAGGTATTGCTGCAGATATAATTGAACAAACTGTCCTCAGACCAAAGGGCAGCACTGCTACAAAAACCATTCAGAACACCATTTTGAGGATAATATTGGGATTAGCCATACCTTCTGCATTCTACAGACTGAACACAGCCTTCCACATAAGTGGATGTCTTACCAGAAAGCAGTGAGTGTCTGGAAGTTGATGGTCTCGAGGACATGTTCGGGGGCATTGAGCTCCAACAGCAGCATGATGAAAATGCGGTGGTATGGCAGCTGCTGGAATTCTGTCTGACGAACATCATGGTCCTGGATCAACACCCCAACCACAATACCCAGCACCTAGAGGAACGGTGAAGAGCCCAATCAAAATTATGTACACCAGGTCCCAATTTTGCACCAGCGGGACAAGCTGGCTCTTTAAATCCAAGATGGCCAAATGTCACATGCACTATTGCTCTAAGATTTATATTACATTAAAAAAAAAAAAGTATCAAATGTCTAGTTTCTTGAAAAGCTTGTTTTACATTTCTACATGACAGTGGTGTTCTATGAACTGCTGTTGTTAACAGTATATATCAGGGCTCTATGGTGGTCACTTGTATATGCGAGTACAAATCTGTGCTAATGCAAAACGCTATTTGAGTGCATCAGTGCGTTGGACTGAGTTCCGTGGACTCTAAGGACCGGCAACCCTCAGGAGGTAGTACTAAAAATCAGGTTCCTGGAACACGAGGGGGGAAGGAGTGCGTGCTTGCAGAGCTGTCGCATCTCAATGTCCTCACACCTCAACTATCAGCATTACAAGTAGGTGTGCAAGCAAACACGTTTAGAGGCAAAATGATTGACTTCACTTGTTGATTTAGAGGTAAAACAGAGACC